ATCGACATCACACTGAGAATCTGTGGTGCACTTACTCTTTTCCTTTGCACAAAAACACATATGCACAGCACCAACAGCCCAAACACTGGGTTTGAACAACCAAGCATCTGAGCAATTTCCCATTATTCTAAAATTCTTGCTCACTTCAAGATTCCTGATCCTATGTCTTAGGTTCTTTCTCTGTTTTTCACCTTTTTTCTAGCCATGAATGACTGTGAAGCCACAAGAACTCTAAGGTCACTTGAAGATATGAGAGCTAGGACCAAAAAGTCATAAAAACTTACTGATGGTGTGGATGAGAAGGGACCCCATAAGCTCTTGTATTTGAATGCTTTGGTCCCTAGCTGATGGAACTGTTTGGAAGGATTAGGAGGTGTGGCCTTGATGGAGGAGGTGTGTCACTGGGGGTGGGCTTTGAGGTTTCAAAAGCTTACAGCAGGCCTAGTCTCTCACTCTCAGCCTCCAACTTGCAGATCCAATGTGAGCTCTCAGCTGTTGCTCTAGTGCCATGCCTACCTGCCTGCTGCCATGTTCCCTTCTATGGTCATGGGCTCGCCCTCTGAAACTGTAAGCATCCTAAGGAGAGTGGAGAGTGGCTCTTCTGTTACTATGTGGATAGTTAATTCAGGGAAGGAAGCCGGACTCCATGTCTAGTCCCCTTCACATGCTCCAATAATTCATAGATTCGGTGGATGTTGGGGTGGGCCAACTCATTCATAGCTCTGGCTCTGGGTCTAGGTGGTAGCTAGGTTGGTCAGCCCACCAGCCTTCACGGGGAGGACATTTTTACAGAAGAGAGCAAATGGTCAACCATCTGCCACATGCTTTTCATTTTCCCCCTCTCTCTTTTATATTTGTTTCTGTTTTCCAGACATTTTGAAGACAAATGTGACTGTGTCTTTGTTTCCTTAATAATCTTGTCTCTCCACTAGCAGGAAATGTCTGCTTCCTTGTCCTTTCACAAGAATCTGCTGTTGTTAACAACTGAGATCTGGGCCAGCATCAGGGATAGAAGTGGGATAAAAATTATGAAGGAGGGGATGGAGAGACGGTCCAATGGTTCAGTGCAATGGGTGTTCTTTCAAGGACACTGTTTGGTTCCCAGCACCCACATGATGGTTCACAGCTACCTATAACTCCAGTCCCATAGGATCTAGTCCCTTCTTCTGGTCTCCACTGAAACCAGGGGTTTACATGGTACACAGACACAGACATTGAGACAAAGAAAAGCAAGTTTTAAAAAGACAAAAATAAATGCGAAGGGAGAGGAGTAAGAATTCAGGAGCCAAGATGGGAAACAGATGTTACAGAAGAGGTGGGGCCGTTTTCTTATGCTGACCAGATAAGAGGAAGGAGCAATTTGCTCAGGGCCGTGATGTGACTTCAAGGTGCCAACTTAACTGGCTGCACAGGTACTAATATCCATGGGAGAGAGGGATCTAAAGGAAAAATTCTGCACTTAGATAAAACATTCCCATCCAGATAAACCACAGGGTGAACCTATTGTTGTATACTAACATACAAGCTCATGTCCACATGGAGGATGTCTCCAAAGGTCCTGTATTATCAGAGGAAAGTTTCAAAAAATATCTTTACTTTCAGCTCTTGAAGAAAAAAATGTAAAACAATTTTTTTATTCTGTTTTGTTTTATGGTTTTTTGAGACAGGGTTTCTCTGTGTAGCTCTGGCTTCCCTGGAACTGTCTAGATCAAGCTAGCCACCTACCTCTGCCTCCCAAGTGCTGGGATTAAAGACATTTACCACAAACACTTGGCATAAAATAATTTTTAAACATTTTTACATGGGTCTCAAACTCACAGAGATTGGCTTGCCTCCCCAGTGCTGGTATTATGAAGTTTTTTGTTGTTGATGATGATGATGATGAAGGTGTTAGTGGTTTTCTTATTTCTTTGTTGTTTTGGATGTTAGATGGATGGTTGGTTGGTTGGTTGGGTGGTTAGTTGATTGGTTGGGTTTTGGGCAGGGGAGGTAGTACTGAGAATCAAATTCTGGCTCTTATACATATTAGAACAAGTAGTAGCCAGCTTTAGGATATATAGTTTTAAAGTAATGTATGGCTAGTAAGTAAGAACATAAACTATACTGTTCAGAGAAAACCAACAATACAAATCAAAAACATCTAAACTATTTGCTCTGGTCAAAACAACAGAGATAGAAAGCAGAAGGGTATCTGGCAGAGACTGTGGGGTCAGGGGAAGAGAGAGAGTGTTAGTGTTTAATCGGTACAGGATGCATTTGGGGCTGCATGGTAATGATGCATATCAGCAGTGTGAATAGGCATGCACTCCTGAACTTGAAAGATGGTTAAAATGGTAACTTTGTTTCATATATTTAACCACAATAATAAAAAAAACTGGAGTGTTAGGAAATTGTTCCTTGTGGGAGCCAATCTCTGTGAGTTTGAGCCCAGCCTGGTCTACAAAGCAAATTCCAGAACAGTCAGTGCTACACAGAGAAACCCTGTCTCACAAAACCAAAAATACAAAATATTATACAATATTGTTTATATTTTTGTAATCTCATATGTAGAAGTAGAAGCTGGGAAGACATTCTGGACACAAAATGATAATAGGTATCATCTCCAGGTGGGATTATAAGCAGTCTTTCCTTTCATGTGTTTCTTAATGTTCTAATAACTATTCAGTATTTGTGTAATTAGGAAACAATAAAGTCTGGGAGCACTCTTCTTACAGGTCCCTCTCTTGAGCATTTATTAAAGCAATAGTACTGGTTGTTACCTACAAGCACACTGTATAGTTACTTCCCTTTAATGCCTGTTTCCTATCTCCAATGCTCAGTTCCACAGGAGCAAACCCTTGTCTTACTCATGCAGGACCCTCTATAAATACTCAGGTGAAAGAATGGGTCTCAGTGTAAACAGATGGATCAACGGAAAATAAGATCTTACCATCTCCATCTACAGCTCCTGCTTCTGTAGCAAATATTAAAAGTGAGAAATTTATAAATCATATGAATTTATTTTTTATAGTCCCAGAGGCTGGCAAGTCCAAGACGAAAATGCCAGCAGCCTCAGTGTCTGGCAAAGTCACCTTCCTTCATAACAGAGAGCCCCTTTCTGTATCTGCATGTGGAAGAAGGGGACAGCAGCTCCCTGCTTCTCTTTGCAAAGGGCATTAATTCCACTTACAAGAAGAATTCTGTCTTTGTCACCTAATCACTTCCAAAACAGGACCACACCACCAAATAAGCTTCCCTGTATGAATGGGGACACATTCAGACTATAGCACTCAGGTCAAAACAGTGGGCATTTTTTCGGTCCTATGCACCGAGGAACATCCTACTTCCTGGCATCTGGAAAGAGGATTACAGGAAGGGTTTCTCTGGTTCAGAATCATCAAAATAAAGCCTAAATAAGTTAACAGGATGGAAAGTAATCTGGAATCCTTGTCTTTTGGAGCGCGATACAAAGGGTGTAAGAATGTGAAACGTAGGTTATAAAAGAGGAGAAATATTGTGACCACCTCCAGACACTGGATCTGCATCCAGGTAGAAAGACACATCTAGTCAATAACTATCCATCAAGCCCCTTCTATGGTCCAGAGACTAAGGCAGGTGTCACAAACGCAATTATATGTCATTTGTTTGACATCTCATAAAAGATGGTAAGATCTTGATGCCACTAAATTCTGTGTTTTGGTGCACGTATATGCTTGTACAGAACTTCAGAGATTGGACAGTTCTCTGTTATTTGTCCCCCATTTATTTTTGTTTCCTCTGACATTTGTGCAATTATGCCTACTAAGCACAGTTCTAAAAGGAACACTAACGATTTGTGAGGAGAATCGGAAGGCAGAATTGGATGCTTCGTAAGGAAGTTCAAGTCAGCATCCCGTACCGTGCATTTCCTGAACCCTGGGGATATACGGCTTCATTTTATTATACCTATTTTGGGCTAGACAACCTAAGAACATTTTGAGATAAGGTTTTTTTTTAAGCCACAGCAAAGGAATTAACACTTCATTGTATACTGCAAGTCTCCTAGATGGGAAGACGGTCTTTTGTTCAGGCTTCAGGGTAGAATCGCATGAGATGAACATCAGGAAAGGTTATCTCTCCACAATGAGAACGCTCACCTTTAAGCAGATGGCTCACAGTCACAGATGCAGATGGGAGCTGCGGCAAGCTTCTGAGTACCCTTGGCACCTGCACAACAATCTTCACTCTGAACCGTTTATCAAACCATCCCTCTCGCCTCATCTCCTTGTCACAGCTTGCCCCGCTGCAGTGCCACTTATCTCTCTTTCCATCTTTGGTTTAAAGCTGACTCTAAGGAAACCGAGGCCCCATACTTGAGCCCTGTGCTACAAGGGCTCTAGTTTCTTTTTTTTTTTCTTTTGTTTTGTTTTTTGAGATAGGGCCTCTCTGTGTAGCCCCGGCTGTCCTGGAACTCTCTGTAGACTAGGCTGGCTTTGAACTCATGGAGATCTGCCTATTTCTGCATCAACAATGCTAGGATTAAAGGCACGCACCACCACCACCCAGCTCTAGTTTCTTGTATTAAGTTACATGGGACAACTCTTTGTAGAGGTTCACTCACTTCATTGGACTAAATGGAGGGCTACCCAGACAGGTTCTCATGTCGGAGACTGAACCAACAAGGTAGCCTTTACGTCGACAGTTCTTGCTTGAACTTATTTTGATGTGTTGGAGACAAGAAATGGCTTATTTCTAGATGCACTTTTAAACACTTTGGTACCTAGGAAAACAGTTACTTCTGTAGACTGAACTACCAACTATCTTATAAATCCTCAGATGTAACATTAATGCTTTTCCATACAGGTCCAATGCTGGAACAAGCATATACACAATGAAATTAAGCCAGTCACACAAGATCAATGGGGCAGTCCTCCCCTCTAGCCACATGGGTGACTTTGACAACTTCATAAGAGACCCACAGGAGAAACTACATTGACTTTAAACTACAGCCTGGTAGAGTCTCTCCAGTTTCAATCTCTTACCTTGTAACTTGGGTTCTCATCCCAAAATCCAGTGACCTCATTGATTGCAGCACTTCAATACAGCCCATGTACTAGAAAAAAAGCAAGAAAGGATAAGTAGGAAGACGCAAATAACAAAACACCTACTCTGAGCTACTGAGCTATGCAACAACTTCCTGGGCCATGCCCACAGTCGGCTCCTGATGGCAGCTATGTGTATAACCATCACCTGTGCTGATATTTTTTACCACCAACATGCACGTATATCCCCTTGGCTATAAAACATCAATGAACTGAAAGTAAATACAAACTCAGGTACTGGGAATGCTGGTGACAATGATGACCTCAGGACCAGGGTTGGGAATGTGGATCTGAGGTCTTTACACTATGCGTGTGTTTTAAGGCCCCAGCTAGTGACCAACTTTTTTTTTACATTGGTTTTGTCCTTGGTAAAATGAAAATATAGTTGGAATTGTTGGGAGAGCTAAATTATTTCACCTATGGAAAGCTTTTAGAACAATGTCTGGCAGGCATAACTGCACAGATGTCAGAGGGAGCAAAAGTAAGTAGAAGATAAATAACACAGCACTGTCCAATCCCCTTAGTGCTGGAACAAGCATATACATGCAAAAGACAGAATTTAGTAACATTAAGACAGTCTTATCGGGGCTGAGCAGTTAGGAGCATTAGCTGCTTTTACAGAGGACCCAGGTTCAATTCCCAGCACCTACATGGCACCATTATCCATAATTCCAGCTCCAGGGGATCTGACATCTTCACACAGACATGTATGCAGGCAAAATACCAATGCACATATAAAATAAAAATAAATAATAAATTATAAGAATAAGGTCTTATTAATAAGATCACTGTAGCTCAAAAGAGAGAGAGAGAAAAAAAAAGAATAACGGTAACCATGCCCTAAAACAGTACTTGGTAAGTTTAGTTTGAATATGGAACATTGGAAAAGATGGTGTGACTTCTAACACAAAAAACTGTTTGTAGCTAATGTGACCACAGAGGAAGCCAAATCAGGGATGCAGTTAGAGAGGTTTAAGTCAGTGTAAAGGTGGGTGATCGTGAGGGTGTGCAGTAGGATGATCCCGGACAGGAAGGAAATGCTGGCCCACTCAGAAGAGGAATAGGAGCAGTGGGGAGGAGACAGATTCAAGTGACAGCAGGGAAAGACATACCAAAGGATTCAGCAGCAGTTAATTTGCTACTGGAGTAGGAGAAGAGTGAGTCAAGGATGACTCATCTGCTTCCAGCCTGGGCACAGAGGTACCTGTAGTGCCATCACAGGACCAGCGAGAAGGGGGCAGGCAGGAAAGAAGGGCTATGCATTGCTTTGGAGCCCATCGATTCCAAGGCTCCAGTTGGTAAGGCAGGAAGTAACAGGCTGACAGCTGGAAATTGAATTCAGTGTCCCCGAGAGGACAAAGCAGAGGAAGGGACAAGGGGAGGGACACAGTCACAGCTTTCTAAGCATCTCTGCAGGTGAGGCAGTGTGATCCTCCCAGCACTCTCCCTGGAGAGTGCGGCACTGAAAATTGCCTTGGAAAGGTTATGAGTGCCAAGTGCTGTGAATGAAAGGGCTCTCAGGACCTCAGAAATGAGGCACTTCCTGGTTTGCTGTCCTTTGGAAGCCCTCAGCTTCCCTTGGTGACGGGAAGAGGAGGGGGCACTCACCAGCTTCTTTTTGTCGTGTTTCCATGAGTGAATTTTATAGATGTCTTATCCCCAAACTGACTGCTGTGTGGGAGACATTCTCAGCCAGATCCACTAGCTGTACTCTTCCTGGGGGTCTCACAGAATCATTCTGTGTACTTGGTTCTTAACTTCCTAGGCTTGAGCACAGCAGGGAAATGAGGTGTCTGGGGACTGGGACCCTTTAGAGGCCCTGCTGGAAAGCACATTTCAGAGTTGCAGTGAAGGAAGATACTGCCGCCCACACTCCACAGTGAGGCGGACAGAAATGGAAAGGACTGCCTGAGAGTTCTCATTGACTGCTCTGACTACATAGTCCTCTCTACCCTCCTCACCCCAGACCCTGATGCATGCACCCCAACTCCTACACACTGATCTGGGGAAGAAAGGAGTCTATACACAAGTCAGGGAGTAAGTCTGGGCTACACTTTCAATTCTCCAGGATGCCGGCTTGGTCCTGAGGTGGGTGCCTTCCCGGGCAGTTATCATCACTAACGTAAGCTGATATGGTACACTGACCTATCTGAACATGTCTGAAAAGGTATGGGCACTACATTTTCACACTCCAATGCAGGGATTTCTAATACACATATCACTTATACTCCTCGCTACTGAAATCTCTTCACAACTATTACCAAAACAAAGTCATTACTATCAATGTCTAGACCTTTGCTTTCCTTGCTTCCATAACTGTGGAGGCACAGATAATGACTCATGGGACTAGGCTCAAATATAAGTTAAATATAATTTATTTCCAGGAGAAGTCACTTACACAAGAAGCAGATGGTCGCCACAGATTCCCGCTCTAAGGATCCACACTGGCTGCTCCCTGTGAACTCGCCAGACCCAAGAGAGCCACCTGTCCTGACCGGAGACCTAAAACCTACTCTCCATCATGTCCACACCTGTGACCACCCCCAAACAGGCATGGTCAGTGCTACAGGTGCAGGCAGGGTGGATATCTCACTACAATTCCCCTTTTAGTATAAAGAAAATATTTAGGCTTGATACAAAACTACATACAAAGATAGCAAATATCAAGTATGCTCTAGGAGAAGGAAAAGTAAGAACACACACACTTAGGACCTATTGCCAGGAAGCAACAAGAGCAAATGACAAGAACTACATATCCAGTCCTAGGGTAAAGGCATAACAGAGATTACTATAGAGTTGTCCTAAGCTGGAAAGCTTAAGTCTTGTGCCTAATATTTTTTTCTGAGAAGAGAGAACAGTAACTGTGACAGTCTAATCTTCAACCTCATCAAAGACCTGAGAAAAGGATAACAATACTAGAGTAGGCAGGAAGTACAAGTGAGTGACTTCCAAAAGGTGCACCAAAGACAGAAACGGCATGCTACCTGGACAGTCACCCAGGGTCTCACAGTAACATAGGGGCAACCAGCTTTGACTAAGACTTAGAGTGTCTGACTGACCAACACAGAAGCAGGGAGGTAGAAAGGCTGTCTTACCCTGACTTGGCAAGGTTCAGCAGTCTTCTAAGTTTATCTCCTGCAAGCATAGTAGGACAGCATGTCCAAAGTCAGCGGTGAATGTGGGGGCAGTTCTTTGCCCAAGAGGTCGTTAGTTGAGGAGAGAATGGACTCCAGAAGGAATGACATCAGTGCCTAACATATTCCCTGGAATAGGTTGGTGCTGTCAGGAGCAATTTGTCTCACATCAATGGAGTACTAATATTAATATTTTATAGGTATATGTTTGAAGATCAAATGTCTATGTCTGACTAATCTCATAGGTATAAGAAATGTGGGTGACAATAATCTGTAATTCTTAGAAACAGTTGTACAATGGCTGAAGCTTCCCAAAATAATTTAACCAATCTTAAAGCCTTTATGTGGCAAGGACAATGACCTCAAATTTGTAACTATATACATATATATATATATATAATTCTCAATAACAGAGATAGAACTGAAATGTCTTGACTAGATGTAGAACTATAAAGTGCAAAATGATAAGATATCCTAAGTCATATCAACATACAAAGTGTATATATATCAAGATAGTTTTATATTTGTGTGCAAAACATTGTAAACAGACAGAAGACCCTAAACAGTCAACATACAAGAATCTAACAATTTAAGTTATCTATAGCTAACAGTTGCTAAAGGTAGTTCACTAGAAAATATGTTAATCTACCTATATCCCATCCTACCCATACCTTTCCCATCCATACCCTTAAACTTATCTAAAAGAGATACCCAAGTCTGAGAATCACCTCCCATACCCAACCCTAAACAACTAAAAACCAACCCTATACAGGTGAATACCATCCCTTATATGCCAATAGTGGAGAAAGGGGCATTGTTTTCATAGGATTGCTTCCTGCTGAAATGGGATGACGATGACTCCATGGGATCCTGTAGGGGAAAAAATCAGAGCAACATAAAGTCTGAAGAGGACTAGTCGTAACATTTGTAGCTAGTCTCTGTGTGGTGGGAGATGCTTGACTGAAGTTCTTATCTGAAATTCTGGCCAGGGTGTAATAAGAAGGTGCACCATTTCAGCTGGGTAGTCTGGAGTTTTCTCGAGCATTATAGAACCAAACCGTTTTTAGGGTGGTGTTTGTTAGTTCAGAGGCTGAATCAAATGGATTCTATGTAGGGCCCCTTCTTCTTTTCGGAGAGTTTAAAGATTGCTGTTAGGAAATTTTTTTGTTCGCTGTGGAGGACTTTAATATCAGCACAGAAAGTTTAACTTCCATAGGTAAACATACAGGGAAAGGTAACAATAAGGATGAAATTAAGAATGAGGAAAATTAGGATTTTAGAGAATACAGAGTTAAGACAATAGTAGTCCTAGATTTTGTTTTCTTCTGTCTTACACCAATTTGATATGAGACAGAAACTCTGAATTTTATTTAAACAGCATGTTTGAATTTGGAGAAGGAGAATTGGAGAAGCCAGGTTTGATTTTTATGTGAATCGGGACTACGGTAGTGCTGAGAAGCAGGGAACCAGAAGACAAGAGTTTAGTATAAATATTTTTACCATATATCAGATTCTTCTTTGTATGATGGCTCTTTCTGGATAGCTATTTTTTCTTCTTTAGGCATCTACGTGTTTGGTGTCTTTTTTTGCTTTTTTGGAGATGGGTTTTTTTCTGTCTAACTGCTCCTGACAACACCAACTGCGTCAAAAGTGAAGATGTAAACATCGAAGAAACTCGTTATGGAGTTTGCTTCCAATATGACAGGACTAGCCATTTGGGCAAGAAACTACTCTTATCTGGACTGTTTGACTTTATGCTGTATTAAATGGACATGCAGGACCCACAGGAAAATGACTGCTGAAACAAGATGGACATTACTACAGGGTTCTCACTTGATGTAAGAGTCTGCCGGACATACTACAGGACACAGAAAAAA